CTTGTAAGTCCAGTGTATTTCGATCCTTGTACAATGCTTTTCGGTTTAGATGTTCAAGAGGTTTTGTGTTGGTTTTTTTTTTTGTAATTGTTAGACAGATATATTTTGCCAAACTTTAGATACATATAGTGAAAAAATAGTTCACACTTGAAAGTGTATTTATAATCCAAGTAAGATACGTGAAAGAAACCTCTGTGTTGCCAGCTTAAAAATTCAGCAGGCGTTTGTGGGCTCCAGACAGGGACAAGCTGTGGAAATGCATCTGCTCTACCTCCTAGCCACAGACCTAGAGGATTCAGGAGTGATTTGTTGCTCTTACTACACTTCTGCACTGCAAAAGATCTTGGATCTCCTTCAGCCAAGCTCAGCTTTCAATAGTTGAAAGAGAGCTTGCACACATCCCAAGTGTCTGTCCCTCTTTTAGAGGGCTCTGCTGCAGAAACCAGGACAGACCTTTGCAGAGTTCATTATGATGCAAAGTTGGCAAGATAAGACACTTAACATCCAGAAATTTCTCACTGCTGTCAGCTTGGCTAAGTCTCCCGAAGTGTAAATTCATAAAATAAACCTCAGTAAGCAGCTTTTTACTTCCTAGCGCAAGTTAACCATAGCTTATTAAGACTTCCATATACCAGGGAAGTAGAAGCCATGCTAAGTGTACTTCATTACTTAGTTCACTGTGGAATTTGCTGAATTTTGGACATTTGATTTTGCAAGTGTAATAAAGAACTTGGGCTGTTCTTTATACGTTGAGTATTTCAGAGTTTCAATTCTGATGAAGGAAGAAACAATAAAGCGAATGACCCATGCAGCTTGAATTCTCTTGACTTCATCCATACCGCTCTGTAAATTCTTTGAACCCAGAAGTCCATCGTGTGTGCTGTGTGAGTGTGATGCATACATAGCAAGTTATTTCATGAGATTGAGTGTGACTTCCAAGATTTTCATATTAAGAGTAAAGGGGGAAGTCATGGCAAAGTTGTGTAACCATATAGTTCTAACCAACTACCTTAATTGTTTGTTTTATTAAGTAATTTGTATCACTGTAGCATCTTCACACGAGATTATGAGTGCACTCTGCAAACGTTAAACTTGATGATACCTCTGAGACGAAGGCAAGCATTTCTCATTCTTCAAATTGGGAAAAAAATGTAATAGACAATTTGGCATTGCAAATAGATGGCATCTATGATACAAATCCTTTACAACATTGCCAACTGAAGATATTTCTGTTCACTCTCAATCCTACGATTCCTTCTGCCATGCCAGTTGGAGTGTTTGCGTAGTCTTATGCTTAAATAGAGTTAATTTCTAAACAGTATATCCCAATGTAGTTCAGTTTTTCTGATTTGGGGCACAGCCCCACAGTGCTGAATTGTCCAAACTAAGGGGAAAATAAACTATGTAGAAAGAGCCTCTTAACCAAGCTCGTGCTAAGTTAATTGTTTGTGCTGTAGGTGAATAGCATTGGGTCCTACCGAAGGTAGCAACAAGAACTCTGTTGGTTTCATCTGTGTGGATTTTGCCAGTCTTCAGCAAAGCTAAAAAGATAATTAAACCTGTGGAGACTTGAATGCAAAAACTTCACATTTCTTCCCTTACTGAGCAAAAAATATTCTGACCATAGCATTCAATTTCCTAATACACTTATGTATAACTAATACAAAAACTAAACATTCTCTAGTTGGAAAAAAAGAAAGGTACCTCTTTTTAATCTTAGGGATGCTAATTATAGATAATTAAATCACAGATAATTAAATATAAAATTTTGTTGCATCCTAAGCAAAGTGAGTGAAACCAAGATTTTATTATGAAAATGAGATGTCAGAGACACGGCTCTGGGAAAAATGCTGTGGAAAAAATGATAATAAAGCCCGAGAAATGTGATGATAAACTTGAGGCTTTTAGTCCCTCTGGAGGAAATATAGTGTAAACCTTAACTCTGCACGTCTGCATCTCTGTGTCAGAATGGAGCTCTTCAGTCTGTCTTTCATGGACTTCAAGCTGTTTTGACAGTCTAGCAAGAACAGCCAAGTTTAATGCATTTCTTTCATTGCTTCTCAGCCATAGTATGTTCTTCCCTGGCTAAGCTTTTATCTGCAAATGGGGTTGCTTACTATAATAATGGGAAATAATTGTCTCTTTGAGTTAGAGTTATTTCTTTCTGTGGCACTTATCACAGAACTTATTGCAACGCGCTATGCAATAAACGGGATTTCATATGTAGGAAGCAGACTACAGCCAAACGTTTATTGCAAGTGGCAACTCTGAATTAAGTCCATCATTGCAGCAAGGCTCTACACGTATTTTTGCCAATTTGGGTTTGTTGTGGCCTAACAACGATCCTGCAGGAGTAGAACTCAAACTCTTAAAAAAATTATTTTACTGTAAGGTTTACAGAGGATTATGGCTTTTACTTACTAACCAACCAGCCAGATATTTGAACCAGCAGCTCAGAAGTGAAGGCTTCTTTCTGTCTTCTGCGGTGCACTGGTGCTACGTGGGCTGTTTAACAAAAGTTTTAAAAGTCAGATGTGTTGCAAAGAGTTGAATGTTCTTTTTTGTTCACTGTGCCTGCCTGCATAACTGCATTTTTTCTTGGATTTACAGCTTCTGTCAGTCCTGTACTTTTAAGAGGCAGTTTAGCTGATTTAGGAAGTGAATCAGTAGATTTAATGGACTACACTGATCTTACTTTAAACAGCTAATTTTCATTATCCCTGGGGCTATTTGAGACGAGCAGGGAAAGTGGGGCTGGTCTGATCTGATTACATTTCATTGTAGTCTCCAATGATTGACTATTTAGTACATTTGACTGGGAAAAAAAGCTTTTCACTTTTAAAACTGCCAGACTGTATGGATTTAGTAAAAGCTGGAGATGGCTTACCATCTTTGTGGTGAAATTAGGTGGGCACAGTACAGGGGTCTAAAAATAAAAAAAAATGAAACCAGTCCAGTCAGGTTCGCTTCATTTGGAAAGAAACCCTGCCATCATGCCTGAATTCTAACAGTGTGATGTGGCTTGGGTAGTCTGAAGAAGCTTTGTAGAGGGAAAGAAGTTACCTTTTATGTAAATATAAAGAAAATAAATAAGAAAAATGTTTCTTTCTGCATTCTTTAATTCTTTGTGTTTTAATTGACAAAAAAAGAACTCATCTGCGTGTAGTTTGAGGCAATTGCATTTACTGCAGAGAGCTGTGGTAGCTTTATTCTGTCACTAGATCACAGTGTGTTTTCCAGCTGCTTTTACTGTTTCCATTGGAAGAGTTTCATAAATTCTTTGAAAAGCCATTGTGAATTTCCAGGGCAGATTAATACAAACTTTTGGTAAGGTTCTCCAGTATGCATCTCTCTCTTGATAGAATTACATAGTGTATCTTCAGGTTTTACAAGCTTTGTGGTATATATTTTAAATGCTGTTTCTTGTTTGGACTTTGGGAGCTGAGCACCCTTGGGAATAGTTTAGAACTTCACAGCTGTGTGGTACCTCTGTGCTTAATAAAATCAGCAGGCCTGCCATATGCTAAAGCACAAGGTTATTTTTAGTGTAGTTTCCTTGAAACTGCTATGAATCAGGTGTTAAAGTCTGAATTTGCAGAGTGGATAGTTGCTGATGCATGGGATGATGCGTCCCTTCCCTGAGCACCCTCCTTCTCCCTCTTCCTAGGTCAGCACGGATCCCTTCCAGCTGAAATCAAATAGCAGCTAGTTATAAGATGTATAAATAGTGAGGGCCATGCTTCAGAAAGACCCGTGCCAGCTCCACTGTATGAGAAACTCAGCTGCTTCTACCTTGGGAAAGTCTGCTGTGTCTGTGTTCTCGTAGATCTTCTGTTGAGCGCTGCCTAATTTCTTTTGATATCTGACAAAACTTATTGCAAATTGTAGAAGTGGCAGAAAACTTTTATATAACGTGAACTCATAGTAGCAGGTCTGTTATAGCTGTTGAATTGTTTTGCAGTTATTTTTAAAGTCCCTTAGTATTTGCATGCAAATTAAAGCAAATTAAACTACAAGCTCAAATTAAACTACATTGCTCCAAAAGCAATGCCTCCTATTTATTTCAGTGCAAACTACAGCAAGTAAAAAGAGCACAGTAGCACTATTTGATAGAGCAAGCTGTCATCTACAGAGCATTGGGTGGGGTTTGGCTCTGGGTCTGCACCTGCTAGGTACTTCTGCATCTCTCCCAGACTGTGGAGGTGAGTTCCAACAGCAGCAGCTTCCTCAACAGCAGCGCTTGATGGGTGAAGCTAGAGGGGCTCCTCTTTCTCCTTTTTGCTCTCCCCTCAGGCTAGATAAAGACTGTGGTGAGTGCCTCATCTGAGTGGGGATAATAGGAACAGGTAAGGAGATCATTTAAAATCTAACTAGTTTTTAAGTATATGCTAACAGCCTGGCCAATAAGCACATCCTATGTTCGACTTTGTGAGAGGCCTGTGTCTATTGGGTACCATATAAAGCTAGGCAGCAGAAAGCGTCGTGCACTTCTCTCCACTTAAAACTGCATGGATTTGAGGGAATTGCACTGTTACTGTCTCTCATAGTGCTGGATGATTCCTCTTTTCCAGCAAGATTTGTATCTGTGCTGACAGAATACTTGAGGTCAGCACTAAAAGTGATGCAGCTATACCAACGCTTATCGCTCCCAACTCAGGCAGACTTGCACATGAGGAACTGATCTGGAAAACAAGGTGAGCGAAGAAAGAATGAATACAAAAATGCTTTCAGTCATGTTCAGATGCTGTAGGTCTTCCTATTCTACCTTTCCTTATCTGTTGATAAGCAGTGGCAGTAATGCCACCTTAATCATTTATTAGCTATATGAATACTTCCAAATTATTTCTCTTTGTTGTTGAACAACTTTTGGAGGGTGGATGACAGTTCTTCACCCCGATGGTGATGCTGTGTCTTGCACAGATAGAAAACAGTTCAGATTAATGCATATTTTAAATCATAATGCTTTCAAGGTGACACTTCTGTTTGATGTTTATCTGCAGAAATTGGAAAAATCTGACTTGGATAACTGGGAGAACATCAGAGGACCCCAGCTGTGGGAAGATTCCAGGACTGTTCAGAAGCAACGGCGAGAGGCTGCCCGTCTCAAGACAGAGTGATTGAGCAAGCCTGCTTTGCTGCCTACGGAACCAAGTCTCAGGCTGGACTACCTTATGTTCTAAACCAGCATCAGGAACAGATTTGGGATGGAGGAATTGTCCTGAGCAATTCATGCCAATATGTATATAACTAAATGCGAGATCAAACCAAAAAGCACTATGTTGTATGAAGCTCTTTGTTTGCTTCTGTTTGCACAGAATTCCACAGGCTGTATATGAGAGTTCTCAGTTAAAAAACAAAACAAAACAAGAAAACTGATTTTGGGAATATCACAGTTTTTCTTTTTCATTGTCATTTTTTTGACAACCACAGTTCAAAAGAGAGGTTCTTCAGCAAGAGTTCACATTTCAAGAGTCATTTCTCAGTGCCACAGTGAAAACAACAGTGCTGTCATCTTGATATGTGTGACCAGATAAGTGCTGCTTTGGAGAGCCCCTGCATGACTTCAAGCTCTTAAGCTTGGCAGGGACTCCACAGGCATATGAACTGTTCGGAAACAGTGAGCTTGTTTTTGGCTAAATAATGTTCTTGTGTTTCATTTTCAGGAACTTGTCTGTACAGGAGCATGTGCAGAGTGTCAGCTGGTAATTGGTCAAGTAGCATTTATTTAGCTGTGGGCTGATTTTTTTATTAGTTTAACTATCAGTGTCTGCATGCAGGCAAGACCTTTGTGTTGGAGCTTCTCAGCTTAAGTTACCAAGACGTGTGCAGTTTTCATGTGAGCAAGCATTGCAGCAGCATCTTCCTGAAGTACTGTGTAGTGGTAAAGAGCATCTTATGTGTATGATTACATGCATATTTGTGCACATGCTCAAAAATGCTTACCTTTTGATGAATTATTCTGAAACATCTTTTTGTCTTTGCTGTTTATTTGCTATTAGAGGAGGATATGCTTCTTCAGAGGAATAGAGCACTAGAGCACAAATTAACTGTAGATTCTGGATTCAGAGTATTCAGTGATGCCTATAGATAAAACCTTGGGAACTCACAAACGTGTGGTTATTCTCTCTGCAGGGGATTTGTGAAATGCAATTGAAATGTCCCTTTGGACACTTTATTTAGGGGTAGCTTCCTTGTGCTCATGTAAATCTTCCCTCAGCATGTAGTTTTTTCAGTCTCTTGTGATAAGGTCCAGTCTTTCAGGAAGAGAAATCTACCTTGATTTTTGAAGAGTTTGAGGAGCAAGTCATAAAGCAGTAAGTAAAATGACTTCGCCGTGTTTTCTGCAGGTTTTCTCCTGACAGAGCTGTGAAGACCATCAGAATGTGTATCTTGTTTGGAACAAGGCTGGAGCTGTGTGTTTGTGCTTTTCCCTGTGCAGAACCATATGTACCTTTGCTTCTAAGTAAATGTGCTAGCAAATAACCATGAGAGGACCAAGAGGAGCAGTACAAAACAAGGCTAATGTATATGCTATAAGGAAATTATTATAAAATTATTATAAAAACCAAGAATATGGGGACATTAAGCTTTGCTATAACTAGAGAAGAAGGAACATTTCATTGTTTCTACGTTCTTTTCTACCTGGAAGTTAATACGATGTTCTCGGGCAAAGAAGATATAAAATAAGCACAAATAAGGAGCAACTCAAACTACCTAGCTTGCTAAGCATCTTTTCAGCTCCTAAATTCAAATTCTGGTGCAGCTCCACTGGCAGCAGCAAGATTGATTGTTCAGAGTGCAGTAAGTGCACTGACAGCCTTCCCTGAGCTAGAGCTCCTACTAACGCTAGCACCATGGCAGCTGCTAAGGTGCTAGCTGGGCCACTGGAATTGCTTCCTTACATTGCATGGCATAGACCCATCTTAAGTGGATTCTTCAGATTCATTATGTCTATTCCAGAGGAAGTGTCTTCCTTTCCCAGCCTTGTCTGAAGTTACCTTTATTTTGCAGATGGTGAGGAATCAATAGCTTCCAGTTTTGCACACATTAGGTATGATACTACCCCTGAAATAAGCACGTGGCTTTCTAAGAACAGCACATAGGAAAAGTTACCTCTTCCCTCATGGGAAGAAGAAAAGATATTTCTCTTTGATGAAGCCCTTATGTGTATCACGTTCCTTCGTGGCCAAATCACACACTGAAAATAACCCATGTATTTTTAGGAAATTGATACGAGGGGTATTTTGGGATCAGTAATCTTATTTTAACATTTCTGGAATGTGGTTGCAGTTAATTCTGTGGAGAACACTTTTAATGTTGTGATGTAGGACCCAGTTTTGGCTTTTGATATTTCTTTGTGGGTTGCAGTGTTCCCCTACTTCACTTTCACAGGTGTTGTGTTTCTTATAATTTCCAAGGGCATATTTGTAACTGCCTTTGAGATGACATCTCTGGAAAGTGATGGACTTATCTTAGCACAGAAATGACATGCAGTTGGAAAACATTTTAACTTGCCCCTTCTCTTCAAGGTATGCGTGAAGCGATAGTCCCAGTTGGACTGAATATTTAGTGATCTTCCACTTAAAAAATCCCATTTATTCCCCCCACCCCCTTTTATTCGTTTTTGAATTAAAACAACAAAAACAAAACAAAAAAAAAACCAGCAGTGACATTTGGCAGCTTCAGAAGCTGTCCTTTTCATAAAATGGGTAGAGCTGCCTCAGGATTTTTGCCTTATTGCCATGCATTTGGACGACAGCCTCGTGTTTTATGCTATGCTTTTCTCGGCAACAGAATTGGAAATAATACTTATGAAAGTAACAGACTGAGAGACACTATTAAAGTCTCTTAAGTTGTCACACATCCTGAAATAGAAGACACTCCAGAAATAAGGAGAATTGTAGTTCGTAACACAGAGAGGCAAACATTTGTTGGTTTGGGATTCATGCTTATTTTGATTGGGTTTTTTTGTTTGTTTTTGTTTTGTTTTGTTTTAATTATCCTTCTGAAAGCCACTTCTGATCATCTCTAGGTACCTGGGAACAGCCCTACTAAGTTCCTGATTTGTCAATCTAAGCATCCAGCACCTGTTGCTGAGAGTCCAGAGTTGATGAATTACAGCTGTCTCCAGGATCAGGAGAGCTTTAGCAGAGGGTTAGAGGAGGTGGTCCCTAGAGGACCTTTCCAAGGCCCTGTGAATCTGTGTAGCACCAATGAGTGTCCAGCTGGATGGTTGCCAGCTGTTAGCACTGTTTCAGCAGTGGGAACGGAAGTGAAAAAGAAAAGTCCTGTTCTGGGCAGCCATGCGCAGCTGTGATATCACAAAATGAAGAGCGTCTCAATCAGCTCATGGGCAAATGGTGGTGACTGTGTTGAAAAACAATGTTTTGTAGCTGAGAATTTGCTCTATCAAATAGTGTTACTGTGTTCTTTGTAACTGTTGTGGTTTGCGTGGAAACAAATAGAAGGCGTTACTTTTTGAGGGACCTAATGAGAGATGAGTGGTGGAACTTTTAAAGCAGACTACAGAATGCAGAAACTTCTTAACAATGTCTTAGATACACCCCACCAGCAGGTGGGGAGCAGTCCTGACAAACAGGATCGGTAACACTGATCGGTGTTGGCAGGAACACGTGCACAGTGCTGAGCACTCGCATCAGGAGAAAACCATTTCTGCACAGAGAAGCAGTAACCTGGGGTGGTTTAAAGGTAAGCGTTCTGTGGAAGTTTCACAGTTAACTGCATGTACGCTGTGTACTGTGTTTATAAGTGAAACTTAAAGCAGTATGTTTTACCTTCTGAAATCCTTGTAATTCTCGATGATCTTGGATTTGCTTTAAGTTGCTCTGTTTGAACTTCCAGCACAAGCCCAGGAGAAGCTGCATGTTGATTTCCAGCATTTTCTATGGGCTTTTCTTTCTGTAAGAAAGAGGAAAGCCTAAGTATTATCCTTCAATTCAAGCGATGTTTCTTATGGGAACTGGAGAAAAATAAGGAAAAAAAGTGTTGGTCTAAAGTCTTAGAGAAAGCAGAAAAGCCATTTTGACCTGAAGATGAGCACAGAATTTTCCATAATTTTCTGTTTTTGGAAAGACTGCTTTTTCCTCAGTGTTTTCAGTGGAAAGTTTCTTTTCATCCTTCATTGGAGTAAGGTTCTCAGTAAACATCCCCTGTATTTTAGCCTAGCTAACTACAAATTTATATTCAAAGTAAGGTCATTGCTGACTGTTGGGCCTTCTTTTCCTATGAGGACTTGCAGCCAGACGCATCCAAAGTCTGGACATAGAAACAAGAACTCCATACAGATGCTTTTCTTAAACTCTTCCTTACCCCAGGAGAACCAAAGCAGTCTTTCCTACCGCTGGAATCAGACCGACTGTATTTTCATGCTGAACATGTGCAGTTAAAGTCCTCCTTAGCACAGACAGGTAATTAAAGTTTCATCCGCACCATCTCCTGCTTGGGAGGTGTGCTAAAATTAAATTCAACCAAAGGAGCAGCTGTTAGTGCTGCAGAAAGGCCATGTAAAATACATTCATACATTGCAAATGTGAAAAGTAGAATGTGTCGTGGTCACAGGTCATTTGAGGGAAAAAATAAACAAACTAGCAATAAGGCAGCACTGTGTATTACCCGTCTCTGCAGGAGAAATTTATGTGCTTTCACCCAGCATGCTTGGGGTCAGGCTTGATGTGCTTTAATTGATGGACAAATAGTGTATTTAATTTAACATTTAGCCATCTGTCAAGGTGGCAGATGAAATCCTCGGCGTTGATACTGACTCTACTGTGCATGTTCTGCGTGAAATCCTTTCCGTTATCAGTCTTGGGGAGCCCCAGTGGCTCCCAGGAGTCTTGCTTAATCCCAGGAATAATCAGAGAGAAACCCATCAGTCTGTCCTCTGGATGCATTCTCTTTTTTTCCTCCTTTCTTCCAGCGTTCTTGCTGAAAAGTAACAGCTCAGGTTCTGCGCTGCTTATTTCTAATGGAGCTGATTGCAAAATGTCCTCTGCTTTTTTTAGTGTTCACTGTCTATTGAGAGTTGAAGAATAGTGGTTTCTAAATTAATTTGAAGATGTCCTGTAAAATGTAAGCTCTGAAACACAGCCCCATTATTGTATCCCCTTAAGTATGGCACCCTGCATACACTGGGTCTCTTTTTATCTTTAGATACACAATGCTTTGCTCTCTGTTTTATGTACAAAGGAAATTAAATGTATTTTTTTCTATAAAAGATGAGATCTTCATCCATCACCAGCTGTCAGCTCCTAATAATGTTGCCCAGAGAAGTGTTATCTGTGATTTAGTGGCTTTAGTGGACTATCTTTTGTTGAATAGAGGATGGCAGAATAAAATTTCAGCTTAATATAGCTCTTTTCATACTCCCTCTGAATAACAGAGGAAAGGAGGAGAGAAAGAGCAAATAATCTTGGCTTCCCAGCTCAAGTTTCTTCTGTTTTACAGTACATAGGGCATTTTAGAAAAGGAAAGAAAATAAAAAGAAACTAAGAAAAAATAATTTAAGAAGTGGAAAGAAGAAAAGCTTAGGGACAAAAATAGTATTAGAAAACAGAGTGTTTCTGACTGGTCCCTCTGGATAGAGGAAAAAGGAAAATAATTTCTGTCTCAGGAAGAACTTCTGGGCTTAAAAATGCTCTTGTCTCAAGTCAGAATGAAAAGTCAGGTATTGTGTTTTGAAAGGCGGTGGTTTTTATAAATGATTTTGAGTGACCAGTGATGTTTTATTTTGCTTTTTGTGTTTTCCTGTTCTTGATTCTTTTTTCTCAGGGAGCTTAACTTCAGTAATGAAAAGCCACTGGTCTTAAAAGCATATTTTTCGCTCAAAAGAACATCAACACAGAACGTTTCAGCAATTTCCAAAACTTTTTCCCCCCCAGAAAATATTCTCAATAAGAGTGATGTAACAACATAGGTTCCTCTCAATGAACAAGTTACTAAGTGTTATTCAACCAGATAGATTATTTTTCTCTGATACATTTTTGAACCAACTGCTGTAGTCCATTCCTCAGTTAATTGGTGAATCTGTGTCTTTCATGCTCACTGTATGTGTGTAGCTGCACACGCTGTGGCAATGCACAGGAGTCTTATCCCCACACTGCACAGGGTAAGCTGCACGCTTGCAGTTGACAGGGGTTTTGAAGACCTTTTCTCTACTGTCTCCACAATGTTCTGCTCTCCTGGCTGATGATACTGCGGCTTTTACGTCAGCTGAGATGTTGTGTCTGAAAACAAGTCCTTCTGTCTCCCTCCTTTCACTAAAACTGCAACCTAAATTTATTTCTGTTCGTTTTGTCTTAAATTATGTTGTTTTGTATTAAGTATTTCAAGCAGAATTCACATATGCTGTAATATAATAAGAAGAAATCCAGCATTTTTCATAGTCTCACAAGGGCACTACGCGTGTGTAAAAGATAGGTGTATGTTTTCCATCATTTTAAATTACTTGTTGGAGGGGAACTGTTAGGTCAGGGCTTGAGCTGGTGATTAAGCACCTGGTGAAGGAGTGTGTGGTTGGCCCAGGGAGCGCAGGCACATTGCTTGCACCTGTGCTTTGCACATGGGCAAAAGGAGTGGACTCAGGTGGGAGCTGCCCTGCGCTCATATAAAGGCCAGCCACTGAAGGAAGAGCATGTCTTGCACCTAGGCTGCTACCTGAGGAGTGCTTCATTGCTAGAGAGCCCCTTCACCAGTTGGGTGAGTTCCAGTCTCCTTTTTGTTTATGTTTGTTGGCCTATCCACAAGTACTTTACCTGGTATCACCAAGAACCTGTCAGAAGCAGTTCTGCTTCTTCATAAACAGAATACCTGTCTAGCAATGAAGTGATTTTCAAGCGTGGAAAGATTCCAGTCTGCTCATGTTTATATGTTTGATGTAATTATATTCCATCCAATCTGGGGTCAAGTCTTACTGCTATTTGGCTATCCACCCCACTGCAAATGCTTTTTGCCATGCAAATGTGTATTCTTGGTGCAAAAGTCTGGAATTGCACACTTGTTATAAAGTCCTTTCGATCTCTGTGCTCCCTGTGAAGTGCAAACATGCTTATTGGTTGTGCTGAACTAATAACAAAATCATGAACTCGGGGCCCTGTGAATGGGACTACGGGCTCCGAATGAAGTTTGAAAATCAGAGCATGCTGACATTACTTTTAATTTCTTCTTTTGAGAAGCTCTGAGCTTCTTGACAACTCAGCCTCCTTTAGGAGCAAAAGTTTTGCTTAGAACATCCTCCAGCTAGACAATAAGTTGAATGGGCGGTAAGGTCAGTGGATCTATCTCCACCAAGTCAGCAGGGAACAATAAAAAGATATTTTCTGCCATTAAAGATAACCTTGTGTACTGCAAAAGCAAGAAGAGTGTGTCAGCAAACTGGCCCTGTGAGAATAGTTTATTGATGCTGCTTGAGGTTTCTTGTAACATGCAAAACAGCGTTATTAGGACAGTAGAAAACTGGGTACAGACCTTTCAGGATTATGTAATAAGAGCAGATCAAATACCATCTGCCTAACTTGAGAAGTTCTGTCTTCTGTTCCAAGGAGGCTTGCCCTGGCTCTCCTTGGCAGAGTGCACAGAGGCAGCTGCTGATCGCTTTTGTCCTCATCCCATCACCACTTCTTGCCCTTTTGGCTGAGATCAGATGCAGTCCCAGGCCAAGTCCTGACATGTCCTTGGCGTGTCTCTGGGAACTTGCAGCAGTCCAGGCTCAGTGACTTACTGGCTCTTTTCCATCTCTAACTACTGTCATTCCTGCTCCATAGGAGACCTGACTTAGATTTAGAAGTCATATTTTTAATTGTTATTATTTTTTTAAGAAGTCAACGCTTCAGGTAAGTCTCCCCCTGAGGACTTTGTGTTCGTCCGTTGGTGAGGTTCTGGGACCAGGCAAAAAAAAAAAAAAAAACCAAAAAAACATCTCACCCATCTTCCGCCCCAGCGGAAGGGACTTTTTGGAGAAGGGGCAGAAGGGGACGCTCGGCCTCCTGCTGCAGCTCGAGGGGCTCTCTCTCGGTGGGGGTCTGCCAGCAAAGAGGAAAGAGTCCAAGGACCACGAGAAGGAAAACGTGAGGCGAATAAAGGAGATTCAGAAGAAATGCAAAGAGAGGGAGCGGGCCCAGGAGCGCAGCCAGCCCAAACCTGTGAAAGCTCTGTGGAAATCCCAGAAATACGAAAACGTGGAGTCAAAGGTGAAGGCCTTACAATACTATGATGATAATACAGTGGTAATACTCCCATATTTTTCAAGTTTCTGTAGTTCCTGAACTTCTGAAATCCGAACTGAAGCACCCACAGGGGACACTGTAATCACCAGCCAGGCTCAGTGTATGAAGAACTCACCCAGTCCAGGCTTTTGTACACAGATCTATTAATTTGCAATTAAAAAAGAGGCAGGCAGAACAAAGTGAAGGTTTTGATGGCCCTGATTTTAAAAAACAAACAAACAACCCTCCCCCCTGAAAACTTGAATGCTATTTGGTCTTGGATTTTCTTGGGACATTGGGTGTTTCTATGTCTGCCCACCTGAGCTATGACGCATGCTGGGTACTGTGGTTGGAGGTGGTGCCTCTGTCAAGGTCTGGGGAATCACCCAGATAATGCATCCCTTCCTTCCTGATTTTTTTTCATCATGATGTGGCTTCAGGAGCCTGATCTTCATAAGAGGAGATTTTGGGAGAGATCTGTGCAACTTTTTCTGGTGAATTTGCTCAGAGCAGTCCCTGCTTTGCTTTCTGCAGGGGATCTAGCTTAGGGATTATATGGGATGTGTTATATGGTTGCATCAGCATAATTGCAATATGCAAGGGTTTTTATTTTTACCAAGTAATCCCTCAGTCACTTATGGAACAGGAAAATCATACGTATTATCTCTGGAAGAAACCATAAAATGATATGGTGACCATCTTGTTACTAAAAAAAGGAAAGGTGGGGATAAGTAATAAACCACATACCCTGGGCATGCAGTCTCTGTCTCCCTTCAAAGAGTCCTGTGCAGACCTGGAAGGAGTGGGCTGTCCTTGTGGGGAGCACAGCCTCATCTTGGTGTGTAGCAGTGAGCCTGGCTCACATGTGAATGTGTCATTGTGTTCATCTTTTAAAATGAACGAATTATTAGTTTCTGTAATGAACCAGTCATTCAGAAGGCAGTCTTCCATTTTCTTCTTTTTTTTCCTTTTTTTTTTTTTTTTTTTTTTTTAGAGGTAACTCATGTTTCTGGGTTTACAGAGCAGCTTGCTTCCGTGTTCCCAAGGGAATAACTCATTATCCTTTAGTATAAATTTCATACTCAAACGATCCCTGATCAGTAACTAGAACATAAAGTGCGTGTGCTATTTTTGTACAGAAAGATCTCCTGTGTTTAACTTTGTAATGAAGTTGCTCCGTGAGATGTGCGCGCTGCTGCAGAGCATCCACCTTCAAAGGGCTTTCTGAGATTTTAAGTAAATACTTGATTTTAAATAAATAAAAAACTTACGGACCCCAAAACAAGTGCTGGAATGCTTCAACCATCGATTTCTCCTATTAAATTTTGAAATTGATTACTTTGAGACACTCACTGACAGAAGTACCTTTCAGTCATGTAGCTCTTCTGTGAACAAATAAGAGGCATAAGGGGCATTTTTTCTGAAAGAACGTTGAAGAAGTCTCAGTACCTGAATTTCGTGATGCTGACAACGATCCTAAGTAGAAGTGATTGCATTTTCTTAATCTTCCTAAGTCATAAATCTTTTGCATAGTATTTTGCTTGAAGTAAAATTCTGTCTAACGTTTGAGGACTTGGACCAGGCTAATGTGCTCTGGTTTTATACAAAAACAACCATGTTTCTGGCTTTCATTCCCTTTTGATCCACTGTTGCTGAGATCTATTGCCTGCCATTTATAGCATTTCCAACCTGTAATTAAAGCTTCTATTTTGGATACCTAACACACAAGCAGGAATTACTGTAACTTAGTATTTAGGTATGTCTTTCAAACCACAGCAGAGAAAGAAAATGTTTCAAATGTGAGGTAAAAGCATTTGAAGCAACAAAAATTTATAGTGATCTAATTTTATGAATAAGCTGTAATTTTATTAACTATTTTCCCATCATTTTGAGCAGCTTGCTTGCATAAAGTCTGTCTTATCCATGGGCTGAATGTGGTGTTCGTTCTAGTTTTGTAGATTTACAAGTGCATCGAACATTTGGAGCAAGACAAACTGAGGATTTTTATAATCACCTTCTTGTTATCTAAGGTCTTCTGTATTTAAGTGCTATTCTGTCTGGTTTCTGAGGCCCTCTCCCCCGGGCAGCTGGCAGGGCTTTTCTGGCATGTATGCACTGAGTGGCTCATGTTCTGAGGGAGCATCAGGCTGCTGCATGTGATGGAGCCCTACTCTATGTCTGCTATAACCTTGGTCTTTTGGCAAGGCAAAGGCTGTACTGGCCTCAAAGAGTAGTTGAAATGGCCACGTTTGAACTGTACAAGCCTGGAGCTCTTTCTGTGCAGAAGAGCATGGTTAATGTTGGAGGGTGGAAGAGGGAATGGTATCCTTTCCCTTTGGCTGGGGGAAAGGGCTGGTAGTCATCCAAAGAGCTAGACTGGGCTGTGTGAGCCTTGGTACGTTGTGTTGTGTAAAGGAGGGACATAATGAAAATAAATGAATGCTCTTGGCCCCCAGAACCCCTTTCAGGTTAAATCACTGTTTGATTGCTAACATGAAAGCTGGAAATTCTATTCTACCGGAGGCGGGGAGGTGGGGGAGAGAACGAAGGCCCATGTGTATTTTTAGCATTCCTTGTAATCATGTCACCTTTGGAAATGAAGGCATCAGTGTATTAGAGCGGAGGAAGTGGGGAGAGGACATGTTCTACCAGGAGAAATGTCATGCCCAGAGTGGATTGACTTGAGTTGCACACGAGCTGTGCACAGTGATATCGCATCTCCCTCTCCCCCCAGATTCTCAGCTGCATTCAGCTTACTTCCTCATGCATCTCTGCGTTTCTTTCCAGGTGACTGTGCATTCCAGATAATATCCAACCAGAATACATCTGGCACAGGCAGAGTGCTCTGGGATCACAGAATTATAGAATGGCTTGGGTTGGAAGGAGCCTTAAAGCCTATCCTGTTCCAAGCCCCTGCTGTGGGCAGGGCTGCCACCTGCCAGCTCAGACTGCCCAGGGCCCCATACAACCTGACCTTGTGCACATCCAGGGATGTTCCCCCAGAGTGATTCCCTGTCCTGCCCAAAGAATAAGGCAGCCCCAGCAACGTGACATCATGTAGCTCAATGGAAGCTACTTAGAAATACCTATTTCTTTTATCTTTTTTCCATAAGGAGAAATCAGATCTAGCACAAGGAAGAGAGGAGGGAATCTGTTCAACAACTGATGTTTATTTGCTGTTCACCTCTGAAATGCCAATGAGCATTTGTGCTGTCTAGGTTGAACTGACTGTTGACCTTGGAGAAATCACTGACTGCTGCTCTTGAAAGAAATTGTTTCCTACTTCCTAAGAAGTATAAAAGAGGTACAGAAGGTCTGTCATGGTCTCCCTCTGTTTATCATGGATAAATCGAATCATAACTGCTACAAATAGAAAAAAAGGGGGTAATTGCTTTTTCTTCCCACCCTTTATTCTTACCACTTTCCCAGCTGGCAAGGGGTAAGAATTAGTTCTCTGCACTTATGCAATGCCCAGAGAAACGATCCTTTGCACCAGATAAATTCCTTGGTGGTGTTAGCAAGCAGCTCGAGCCATTAGCTGTCCCTTTTAGCTGATAGTAGAAAGGAGATCACTGCAATCACTGGCAATAGCTGTGATCTTTCCTAGGTGTAGAGATGCAGAAAATGTGATGTGCTAAGTCCCGTGTTCTAGTGATGCGCTCTGGGAAGGCTGGGGGGAGATGCCTTCCAGCCTGAGCTGTTAGTCTGTTAGTGGAGGAAGATGCCCAGCTGCCCAAGTTGGATCCGTGCCTCTGGCTCAGCTCTGGCAGGGTGTGTTGGCATCTGCAGTAAGAGACGAAGGAGCACCTTGCACAACTCTTTCAGCACATTGGGATGTTTTCATCCTGGAAGATAACAAAGTAGGAGGAAACAGTTGCTTAAGGAAGGTTGATCTGCTGCCTTCACCTTGGCTGGAGTGGCCTTCCTTGAGTGGGTATGAAATTAGTTCTGGAAGGTTTTTAAAAGGTTTTATTGTTGGGAGCATCTTCCATGTGTCCGAGAGCAGCTGACAGCCCTTACCTCTTTCTCATTCTTCCCTTGAGCATTATATTCAATCCGTTCTCCATTGTATTGGCACCAGCTGAAGTGTGATGTTTCTCCAGCTTGCCAAGTCTTCAGTCAAATGTATACGCTACCTCCAGCTGCATGACAGCCACCCGTAAAATTAGTTAAGTCACATTGATTTCTCCTGCTTCCTCTTTTCTTTCTCTGTGGATGAGCTGATGATCCGAAGGACTTTGGAGAACCCAAAGACCTGAGGTACGCGTGATGAAAAGTGAAATAGGTGGCACTGTTTCCTGTTTTTCTCTGAGCAGCAAAAGGTATCTTTAATAGATCTTTGTTTTTCCACACAACAAACCCATCAAAAGGCTGAGCACAGGTCTTCCCCCACTTCTTTGTTCATCTTACCTGGCTGTTAGTGACGACAACTTGTATTCGCACAGCACTCATCAAAGGATCTCCAGATAGACAGCCACCTTTAGAATCTATTTTTAACCTCCTTTTATAGATACTGAAACTAGGAAGCAGGCAGGTTTGTGCTATGCGCTCCTTCCAGCACAGCTGTGCAGCGGGGTGAGAGGAGGTGAGCTGGCTGCTGGAGCTGTGCGGGCAGATGGAGAGGGGCAGGGCTCCTTGGGGGCTCTTGGGCTGCCTGGTGCAGTGTGTAGCTAGGGCCAGGCAGTCCCCAGACACAACAGGCTACATCTCTCTCCCATCAACTCCTCTTACAGCAAAAGTAGTTGTTCTCTGGGTGACTTGGGATTGTCACACAAGTGTGGAGTGAGGCTTTGTAGTCTGGTGGTGTGCAGAGTGATGTGGTGGCTGGAGCGTGACCTCTCAGATGCCCAGGGAGCCTTGCAGCACTCAGGGAGTAGCCCCAGGCACACATAAGCACTTGCTTTAGGGAATCACCCATAATTTAAAGTGGAATTACATGCTTAACTTACTAAATTACTCTAGGCTTCACTTAAGTATGTAATTAGAAATTATGTACTAAAAGATAACAGTTTGTAGGGCCTGCTTGCTGTCCTGCTTCCATTTCTCCAAGTATTGCTTGGGCTCTTGCATAGTTCTGCCTAGGTCGTGTACCCAGCCTTGGGATCAGAAAGTAACAGGGACAGGATGGGAGTCTATAGGGTGCAAACCCATATGGTAAGTAATCTCAAAATCTAGGAACATTGCAGTGGTACAAATAGAACTGGAGGAGCTGCACAGGCACAAATCCGGAATGTCCTCCAAATCCAGACCATTCTTTAAGAGATTTTTCCCTCCAAGGGTGGGTTTGGAAGGAGCCAGCCACATCTATGCTCAGCCCAGCTGTTGGTGGGGCTGTTTCCCAGCATCACTGTCCTGCCAAGAGTGGGTTGATGTTTAGCAAGCTCAGCTGTGCAGAGTGAAGTCTTTGCATATCTCCCCTTCTAGTGGTTTCTCCAAATTGCTATCAGCATCCCAGAGGGACAGCACTGGGAATGCAAGCTGCCACTCCCTTGTGATAAACCAGTATTGAAGGCTACAAACAAAGGGCTGATAGCTGCTGAAGCCGCAGCCTTGTGCTGGAGACACCCATCTGCAGAACTGAAATAGGCAGATATGCATGGAGATACACAGAGGAGGAATGGGTCTGGACTGATCATATCAGCAAACAATGTCCTCATCTATCAGCTAACTCCTCGGTGTTGGTGCCTCCCCGAGAACACTTCTGTAAGGAAGATGTTCCTAGCTCCTCTTGTGTCTTAAGGCAGTACTTGGCCAAGGTATGAGAGTATGCCAGGTGGAAGGTGTGTTGCCTCGTCATACGAGGGAGTGCTGTCTGACTAACAGATTGGGATTGCCCGCTGTGGCCTCCACTTGTTGCCTGTTGTGCCTTTAACATTATGTCTACATTAACCGTATTTGTAAGGATGGGGAATGCAGGTTGAGAAGCTAAGAACTTTCAGTATTTGTATGATTTTAAATACAAGAGACAGGTTTATCCTTTACTTCTAATGACTCGTGCTTCTTTTTCAGTGCCAATTTGCCAGAGCTCAGAGAAGGCACGTTCACATTTTTGTTTGCCTGCTCTCTTTTATAGGTCTGTTTGCAGTGCACCTTTTCCCCTCTGACTGGTGCCTGTGGTGCCCACACCTGCACCTCTGGGCTCAGCAAGGTGTCACCGCAGACGAGATGTACTGGGAGAACAGAACCCACTCACGGACCTGCTCCCATGTACAGATCTTTCTGTACTTACTTTGCAGGGACAGAGGTGGCCAGGCAGTGGGTTTGAGAGTTCAGGGTGGTACC